GGGAAAGCATCAGGGATGGACAGTCAGTGATCTGGGATTCACAGTAATTTCAGACAGATTGGCAATTGTTCAATCCCTGAATTCCAGATTTCAATAATAGTGATCTGCTATGTGAGATTAAAAATAATAAATATGTACCATATGCAGTATTACTTAGGAGATTACTCAGAGATGATTCAAGAGGAAGCCCCTGAGAGAGGGTCAGGCACTGGGTTCTCATCTCATCCCTACTAACTATCTGATGTTGCTCATCATTCAATGCTCTGAGGCTCAATCTCTTTTCCTGAATCTGGGTCAGTTCATCTTTAAGACCCCTTTAGGGTGAAAAATCTTCTGAGTTTTAGCATCTTCTTCAGCAAGGGAAGAAGAGAGGAAGAAAACAAAACCAAAACATGGAATTGTTATATGGTTTCACATAAAGCTAAAAAATAAAATCATGAGGTCTACAAGTAAAAAATTTAGATTCCAGAATTAAAAAACAAATTCTTAAGATTTGTTTTATTATATATATACTATTCTTGTGATCTTTATTTGTTCAAACGAAAAACAATTTTGTTGTTTGCATGATGGGAAAAATGGGAATGACTAGCATCATTTGTAGAAAACATATTTGGACATTCTTAAAATCTTAGGACAGACATAAGATTCACTGTTTCACAGTGAAGTGAAACAATAAATATCCTAAAGATTAGTAAGTACTAATAAATGCAAAATGGCAGTAATTACCTAATTATAAGAACTGAAAGTTAAAACCATTTCAAAGTAGTCTTTGACATTAGAAAGAAACAATAGAGAGAAAATATGCTGTCCACTTGAGCAAGTGAGTGAGTGGGTACAAGAGAACTTTAAGAACTGAATATCTGGTCAAGCTTCAATGACAAATCACCAACATCAAAATCTGGTACTAGTATTTTTTAAATGACAATTATATCATCTTCTAATTCAACTGTTATGTTTTACAAAGAGTAGCAGCCAAAATGATTGATACAGGAATAGGGATAATATAACCCAGAAAATAAATTTGAAGAAGGCAATTTCAGCAAGAAAATACTGAAAAGCATTTCTATTTACAATGTAAAATTTAAAGGTCTCCTTATTCGAAATGCTCTATTTTGCTGAGAATCATACTAGTTGAGCTTTAAAATGACTGGTTTATGGGTGCCAAAAAGCAGTGATCATTTCTGCAGATTACAATCTCTGTGCTACAGAATCTAAAAGAAACCTGATTTACCAACAGAAATTAGTGTGAAGGCAGTGTAGCAAAGTGATTTTTGTGCTTTGCCCTCTTATTAGATAAATGACCCTGAGCAAGTTAGTTCTCCAAACTGCAGTTTGCTCATCAGTAAAATCAGTTTGCTCTGGAATGTTCTTACATATATTCTTTCATTTAAATCTCAGAATCTTTCATTTTTGAGATTTGAATGAAAGAATATATGAAAGAACATTAAATAATATTAAAAATTGTTACCTAAAATACTGTAAAGATATAAGTATTTTAAATAATCAGGTGCTTCCAGCAATTCTATTAACCACTGAGCCAAAAGAAAGAAAAATGTGTTTATCTAAATTCCTACAATGAAGTTACAAATGTTATTCAGAAAATAGACTATTTGAGAATTTACTTTATCCCTATTCTAATTAGTAAGGCACAAAGATAACACTTTAAACACTTACATAATGTGGGTTTTTATAGCAATGATACATTGGTATGAACTTAGCCACAGCCTTTTTTTCAAGTCTCTTTAACTTAAAGGCTACATAATTATTAATACAATATGAGAAGAAAAGGTTGGCGTACTAAGGCCAAAGAACAAAGCAAATTAACATACACGGAAGATTAAACACAAGACTTAGGAGCTTTAAGTAACTGGATAGGATACTTTGCTAAAAATAGCATACATTCCTAATCCTGATATATATCTCTGGAAGAAGTAAAATATATTCCAAAACTACAAAAGCAGATTAAGTCACGATTCCAAAGAAGCTCACTGTATTTTTTTTATTTTAGTAATCCTACTTGAAAAGAGATTTGTTAAACCCAGTGGGCTGTGTCTGGCTTATACCACTACTGTACATTTCCACTTACTATATTCCTTTAATTTGAAACGAATCATATCTATTTATTATATACCTTGGAGTAGCAAATAATACATTGAACCTGAACCACTACCATTCAATATAAAACCATGGGAAAGAGAACATATAGTTTAGAAAACAGAACAGTCACAAAGAGCAATAGAACAATCTTCAAGTATTTGAAAGCATGCTAATAATTCATCTTCCCTGTATATGTTATAAGAAGGTAGATTTTAATGCAACATAAAAAAGAATTTGTTTATTCAGAATTGAAATGGGCTTGTTTCTGAAAAATACTTTGCCAAACTGAGAGAACTCTAAAAATCCCTGCATCTTTCGATCCAGAGAACTTTAGAAATTTATTCCAAAGAAATCTTTGAAGATGTGATGAAAGACACATAAAAGAATGCTGACACGGTTTAAAGAAGCAGAAAAGGCTTATGGCAACCTAGGTATTATTTAGCCATGAATAATCTTCAATTAATAATTTAAAGACAATGAGAAAATGCTTAGGGTAAAATATTAGTTAGAAAAAACTATATAATGAATACTGCCAATTTTGTTCTCCTGAGAAAATATTGTTTATGTAAAAATAATTGGAAAAGAAATTGGAATAAAGCAATCACAATTTAGCAGTTGATTATGTCTATGTGTAGTGGCAATGCAGGTGATTTTTGTTCTAAATTTTAATTCAGAGCAGATAGTACTTCTTTAATCATGTTCAATAATCATCTGTCAGGAATTTTATCAAAGAACTATGTAACTCCCAAGGTCTTTTCCAACTCAAAAATTCTACAACTCTAAGAAAACTTTCTACAACGAATTTAAAAATCAGTAATTCTCTGCCAAGACCAGAAAATCTACAATTAAATTTTCAAAGAAAGACTGACAGCCAAGAACGGCATTTATTTCAGAAGTAATATCAATACCCTCTGGCTGGTAGCTCTTTTCTTAGACAGAAAAATGGGCAATGAACCTAAATGAGCTGTGATAAACAAAAGAAACAAGAATATACCTGCAATTGCCAAAAAAAAGAATAGGAAGAAAAAAAGGAGGAGGAAGAGGAAGAGACAAGGGAGGAAAGAAATGAAAGCTTTTTCCTTATTTTTGGCAGAAAGGCTGCTGCCGAGATGGCTGATTAAAATCTTTAAATGATTAGTTACTACAATCATGAAAGCTGCTTAACCTTTTCATTTAACTGCTAGGACTAAAAACTACAAGATGGGGTTGGGAGAGCTTAAGAAAGTTTCTCCTTTTTACAGAAGATTATCTGATTATATCAATATGATTAATATCAGAATTAAATGACTCATGATAGTAAATTTCTATTTTCTTCTAAAAAGATAGCAAACCACAAAAAAAAATAAGCCACTGGTTCAATTCATAAAAATGTTAACTATTATCACCACAAACTTCAAATATCATCCATTGTTAAGCTAAAAAAAAGTTTCATAAAAATATTTATATCATAGATTAGAATTCTATAATTCAAAATTAAGAAAAATATTCCCCTTGTAATGACTGAAGAGAGCTATTTGTTATAAAAGGAAGAAACCAAAAAATGTCATATACTTTTTACTAGCGGTAAATAAGAGTGCAACAAAACTATCTTCTAATGGGGTATCATACTAACATTTGGATGAGAATACAACAATAAAATTACAAAATAAAAAGAAAATAATTAAAAATGTGTAGTACACATTACTTGAAACATTTGGAGAAATTAGTAAGACATTTTAATTTCAGCCATTTAGGTGTATGTGCATATATATACATACATATACATATACATATATATTTATACACACATATGTGTATGTGTATATATATATCATACCATCTTTATTGCTCATTATATGACACATAAAATAGTTTAAATGAAATACTTATGATAGTTTTTCTATATTTAGAATCTCATATGATGGGAAAAAATTGGGGGTTTATATAGGAAGATCAAGGGAACACAACTCCTTATGAAACCTGGTCAAAATACACAGCTTATTTTTCTTTCCTTTTTGGTTTTTAATAAAAAGTATTACAGACAAAAAGGAAAAAGGAAAATCCTCAAGACCATGATTTTCTCACCAGTTATTGTAAGATTTGCTTTCCCAAAATATTATAACTAAGACACAAATTTATTTTTAAAAAGGGAAGGAAGGAAAAGAGAAAGATATTACCGTGCTTTTAGAATTAAATACTTACCCTTGTTTTTATAGATTCATTCTATCAGAAAGTTCTAGCAGAAACTAACATTGGAAATATACTCATGGCTTTCTAATTAACACATAAAAAATACCCATTAAAAATATTAAAAATAAACAATATGCTAGAAACAGTTCTAATCTGATCAATGAATATGCTATGTGTTGCAAAACTGTATGAAACCTGCTTTTTCTTATTTACTTATTATTATTTAATCCAGGAACCATTTTTGAGGCAATTTTACTTGACCACCACCCATTTCCTATTGTGACAAATGATTCAATACCCAGTATCTTCAACCATTTTTTAAATGCTCGAATATTTAAGACTTACTACCTAGAGGAATGTGTAAAAACATTACATAATTCAACATTTCTGTAACAGCTACTGCACTTGAAAATTAGTAACCAAATTCTGAAAAACCTGTTCTCTGCTTAAAACAAAAAGCAAAAAAACTTCCATAAATCTTTTTCAAAATGGCATCTGAAAAATAAATACCCTCAAGAAGACACTAATTCACAAATGCTCTTACAGGAAATAGCTGGAAACAATATTTTATACATTTCAAAAGGGCATCATATACTTCTCAGTGTTGCAACAGACTCCAGATCTGCAATCATGCTGCAGTCATGAATAAACATATTTCTCTGAAGTTCTAAGTATGTGTGGCCATATCAAGGGCATGGGGCATGTATAACAGATTTGAAATGGATTTACATTACCTCCAACCTTAGGGCCACCTGCTGAACCAGGCTTCCTTGCACTGTTGACAGGATTTCCGGATGTTTTAGGTGCAGGAACCTTGAAGGCTGAAGCAGCTGATGACGGCCTATTTCCATCCACTGATTCTTCATCATCGAAGCTTTTATCTGCACAAAGCATTAGAAAAATGTATTTAAGAGAACTAAGCTTTGTTCCATTTTCCCTAAGGCTCAAAAATAAAATAAAGCCATATATAAAATCATTACTTTGGTAAGCTATGTAATACAAAATAAAGGTCCTTTGAATAAGCATTTATATTTTGGCTAACACCATATAAAATAATCCTCTGTAATTTAAAATCAAAATGCAGTATTTTCATATTTCTTATACATATTAAATCAAAACATAAAAGAAAACATATTAACTCTAAAGGTAGTAAAAGTAATTTTCATGCTTTTGCTACTCATATAAGCATTTTCTGCCAGCTCCTCCCATAGTGCATCTTGTAGCATGCCCTGCCTTATTCCTTATTCCCAGATTCTGCAACTTACAATCACAGATGCGTTTGCAAATCAGTCGCCTCATTCCTCTGAAAGCTCTTAATTTCCCTCACCCTAGGAGGCTCCCAACAGTTCACATGGCCAAATACAGTAAATTCGATACTAATCAAAGGTTCTATCAAAAAAAGACAGAAACAACCACAGAACCACCACTGAGGTTTGTGCCGGCATTTTTCTTTCTCTTCCCTGCCCTAGGTGCTATAACAGCCAATCAGCTACAAGGTGACATCATCTTATGGCAGCTACTGCCAGATGAAAGGTAAAAATTCTCCATGCATCTAAAATATTCTATAATCCTTATTCTATATCAGAATTTCAAAGGCATTCAAAACTAAAGGTTTAGAAATCTAGGTATGTGTTCTTATTCGACATGAAAATGTATATAAATAGAAAATAAGGTTGTATGCAATATTCATTCTGCTGGGGTGCTTATTATTGCATCAGTAAAGCACAGACTGCCACAGTGCTCATTACTGTGCATAATTAACTCTGTAATCTTAAAATCTCCTGTTTATTTAGGCTACAGAAATCAAACAAAACAATTTGTTTTCATAAATGATTCTACAAGGCTCCTTTCGGAATATGAATGACCACACTAGCATTATCTACTTATATGTAAATGAAACACCTCCCAGCATACACATACACACACACACATGCACACGCACACACACACACAGTATATGCATTTTACTCTCCTGAGAAGATGGTTTTCTCTAGGACCCTGCACAATTCAACCATAACAAATAGATGGGCGAGGCAGAGAAACAGCCTGTGGTAACACAGGCTTCAGATCAATATGCCAGAATCTTTTCTTTTCAACAGGCTTTCTTTACCTAAACAAACACCCAGTCACCTAGAATTAAATAATTCCTATAAAGAGATACTATCAATACAACTATTAAATATATTTTAACTAAAATATGCCAAGAAAGTTTTAAGACTTTTATTTATTAAAGGAAAAAAGAATCAAACAGACACTCTAATAAAAAGCCACATTCTATTTCAGAAAGTGTTTTTAAGTAATACAGCTTGCAGGAAAAAATTATCTTCTATTCTTAAAAAATTGTTTTGTAGCATAACACTATTAGGGAATCAGTTTGGATAAATTAATAAGCTTAAAACCTTTATAGTACATAGACTGCTCTGTTAAAAACACTAATATAATTCCAAATAAACTTTTTGCTACTATTATATTAAAAAATGCAGCTAAGAGAGACAGAGTAGACATACAAATCTACAGAAAGTTAATCACTGAAACACAGAGTAGCCAGAAGTTCCCACGGAAACAGTATTCTGTTCCTACACACACAAGGATTGAAAAGAGTAAATATGTTCCTACCATTAAAAAAAAAATTAACTCAACATTCTCAAACTACTGGGAAATTAATTTTTAAACTGTTTATCAAAATACAGCAAGGTATACAAATCATCAGTATGCAGCTAATTAATTGATTTTCACAAAATGACCATGCCAGTATAACCAGTATCCAGATCCACAGATTATTACCAGCAACCTGTAAGTGCCCTCAAGACTCCTAAAAGTCTACATTTCCTTCCAAAACTAACTAGTCTTGAATTCTATCATTTGCTTTTGTTTATTTTTGAACATTATATAAAAGGAATACAATATGTACTCTGGTATCTAGCTTCTTTTTACTCAGTGTTGGAAGATAATGTTTGGAAGATTCATTTTCATTGCTAATCGTTTTCTAGTGTATGAAAGTACCACAACTGATTAATATCCATTCTACTACTGACAGATATGGGCTGTTCCAGATTGAGGTTATTATAAAATGGTACTACTAAGAGGTAAGCAAACAAAGTTAAAGGTTTCTAAAGATTTGAGCCTTATTGAGGAAGTAATAAATACAGTAATTTATTTTAGATTATAATAAATCAAAGATACACAGTAATATCTAGGGCACTGGTCCTCGAAATGTAGTCCCTATACCAGCAGCTGAGCGTCACCTGGCAATTTGTTAAAAATGCAAATTATTGGACCCCAACCGAAACCTACTGAATCAGAAACTCTAGAGATGCAGCCCAGTAATTTATGTATTAACAAGCCCTCCTGGTCATTCCAATGCATGATCCAGTTTAAGAATCATTCCCCTAGGGGAGGGGATGGCATTCTTTCTCTATAAAGGACCACGTAGCGAATATTTTAGGCTTTGTAAACTATATATATATGGCCTTTCCATACAACTACTCAATTATGACATTATAGCACCAAAGCAGTTATATACGCACAATATGTAAACAAATGGGTGTGGTTGTGTTTCAATAAAATTTTATATACAAAAACAGTAGGGCAGATGAATTTGGTCTATAAGCAACAGTTTGCCAATCTCTGCTCTAGGCTAAACTACTAAAGAAAAGTAAGTATACACATAGAAGAAAAAGAAAATAAATTTAAAATATCTGATTGGCTGAAAAGAAGGAAGAGGGACAAAAAGAATAAAACAAGTGGATAAGATAAAAAATAAAATAGCAAATATAAAACCAAGTGTATCAGTAATTCTCTTAAATATAAATGAACTAGTACAGGTGAAAGACCTAGACTGAATTTTTTTTTTAAACCGGCTGCTTAAATGAGATATATTTTTACCTATAAGGTCACAAAAAGATTAAGAAAAGATAGACCAATGATGTAGCTATACTAATTTCAAATAAAGCAGTTTGAAAAAGCATTACTAGAGATAAAGAGAGATGTTTAATAATGAGAAAGAGGTTATTCCATGGGAAAAAAAAAATCAGAGCTCTGAATATTTATGTACCCAATAAGACAGCTTCAAATATATAAACAAAAACTGAAAAACTAAAAGGAAAAATAAATAAATCTACAAACACAGGAAGAAATAAAATTTTACCCACCTCCAATAAGGTTATGGTTTTTTTTAACTATCAGCTACAAGAATTCATAAAACTAATTCATTATCACTACCCCTAAAATTTTAAATTTGTTAAACAATAAATATTCTGGGCTTAAATTTTTAAAAAATAACTATGAAATATCAAAACAAGTCTCAATTATTTTCTTCCTAGCGGCTATCTTACTGAAATAATAGATGCTAATTTTTCTATGTGGATTGGAAGTTTCTTAAGAGCAGAAACTTTGTCTTGTTCATGCCGTGACTCCATTACCTAGAATAGTCTAAAAATAATTGTCAGAGCAAACTAACTCTTCCTGCTGCTTGCCTTGTCCCCTAAAGTGTATTCTCAATATGGCATCCTGGGTTGAACAAACTCATAACACAATCACTGTTCAAAATCCTCTTATGACTGACTACATAAAAAGGCCTACCAGAACTCTAAGATCTTAAATGTCATGTAGGTCTCTCCAACCTTATCTCCTACCTATTTTCCCTGTTCTCACTAATCCCGCCCCACCAACCTAGGCTCCCTGCTATGATTCATGTCAGGGACTTTGCACTTGCTCCTGCTGCCCTGAATGCTTTTTTCACCCATGTCCAATACTGTTCACTCATCAGTTTCATGTCTTTATTCATCTGTTGCCTTCTCAATGAAGTTTTCCTCTGGATATTAAAATCACAAACACCCTAGTGTTTTCCCAACACTCTATCACTCTGATGTACCCCTGCCTCCCTGCATTATTTTTTCTTGGCACTTGCCATCTATATATTTCACTTATTTTGCTTATCTGTGTTCTGCTGAAATATATGAGCTATTGGATAAAAACTTTTGTCAATTTTTCCCTCTGTTTTATCTTCAACATGTAGAACAATATCTAAAATGGCACACATTCATAGTATGGAGACTTTCAACCTTCAGTGAAAACATTACCAAGTTATTTAAAGTAATACTACAAAGACAAACAATAATACACGCTAAACAATGCACATATTTTAATATGTAATAGAAGCAATAAATATTTTATAAGATACTAAAAAATATAAGGATAAAACCAGTACAGTGGAACTTCCTTTATGAAGGCCTTGTGGGGCAAAGGGAACAGAATTCAAAGTCCACATTAGATACAGAGTCTAATAAAGACTCTTCCCACCAAAAGCTGGTATACCAAACAACTATACCCTTGAGGTTAAAGTAAATCATAAGTAAGATCTTCCAATAGTCAATTCCTTTCAAGCTTTTTTCAAAAGAGAATAACAGAGAAGTGAATTAAATAAGAGTACTGCGTTAAGGTCAACTGCTTGGGCGGTCCAGACATTCAAGACCTTAAACTCTGTGGACTCAGACTGGTAGTACTTTCAACCAACAGCCAAACAAATACAACATTTCCCTGAAAGAAAGGTGTCTGGCCTCAAATTACTCTCACAAATAATTTTCCAAAAGGCACCAGGTACAACAGGAAACAAGACACCATGAGCAAGAACAAATAAAAATAAACAGACAATAGGAAAAGACCCACTTAAAATCCTACAGTTACCAGACATGGACTATACAATAACTAAGCAAACTTGACTTTGGGGATTGAAAAATTATAAAAAGTGACATAGATTTTTAAAATAACTAAATGGAACTTCAAAAAGTGAAAATATAGTAACTGAAATTGAAATTCAGTGGGCAGGCCTAACAGTGGCTTAGACACAGCTCAAGGGATCATCAGTGAACTAAAAGATAAG